AATGGATGGATGGGTGGGTGGGTGGGTGGATGGATGGATGGATGGGTGGATGGATAGATGGATTGATGGATGGATGGACAAACTAATGGGAGAGGGGATGGATGGATGGATATGTGGGTAGGTGAAAGGCTGGACAAACAGATGATAGGAGGATGGATGGATGGATGGATGAATGGGAAGGTGGATGGATGAACACACAGACGATGAATAGAGGGGATGGATGGGTGAGTGGGTGGAAGGATGGATGAATGGTGGATGGATGGCTATGGGAGGGTGGATAGAGAGGTGGGTGATGGGAAGATGGATGGATGCTGGATGGGTGGATGGATAGATAAGGGAGGGCGGATGGATGGGGGGATGAATGGATAGGCAGATAATGGATGGGTGGGTGGATGGACAGACAGATGATGGGTGGGAGAATGGATAGATGATAAGATGGGTGGGAGGATGGATTGATAGATGATGGATGGAGGATGGATGGATGGATGGATGAACGGTGGCTGGCTGGCTGGACAGATGATGGATGGAAGGATGGATACATGAAAGGATGGATGGACAGACATGATAGATGGGTGGATGGATGGATGGACAGGTCTGTGGCTGGACTATGGTGGTGATTTGATCCCCAAGGTCCACCTGGTCACCACACCACTCCTAAGCTCACTTGGGCCTGGTGTTGCCCCTGTTGGACCAGGGCCAGCATTTCCGGGGTCTCTGGGACGGTGGTAAATGCTCAGTCATCCACAGGTGTAATCCAGAGCCTGAACACCTGCATCCGTGACCTGTGTCGTGGGCTGGGCCCTGCCCTCTATGACCTCATCTTCCACTTGCTTCATGTGGAGCTGAGGAACATGGTGATGATGAGGCCCCTAGACAAAGTCATCAGGACCACCATGATAGTAGCTCCTCTCACACCCCTCTGAAGTGGGTATTATCGCTGCCCCACCCTGCTGGTTCCCACCAGCCCACATGAGACCCCTTCCCACTGCACACCATATTTCCCACCCATCCCGTGAGAATACCTGCTGCCCCCACCCCACAGCCAATCTACTGTGGCACTGTAGTCCCTGCCCATTCCCATGGGGTATCTGAACACCCCCATATCACACCATCATCCTTTTGGGGTGTCTAACCCCTCCCTCCTCACTCCTGTCCAGGGCTGCTTTCTCTACTGACCATCCTCCTCATCGCAGTGCCTTCACCACTACCAGTCCAGGTCCCTGATGGTGAGGAACCACTACAGGGGGACAGCGATACAAGTGGTTCCCAAGGGGCCCCAGGGCCTGAGGTCAGGGGTCAGGCTGAGCTTCCAGTGGGCCTGCCAACTGCTCCTCAAGTTTCCTAACCTTCGGGTGCTGACCATGCGTCCTGCTTTGTGGCATTGTAGGATAAGCACTGTACCACAAGGTCAGCGGGTGAAACTCAACAGCTGCTTCTCAGAAACCCTACACAGGGTCGCTATGAGTCAGAACTGACTCCACGGCACTTAACAACTGCTGGCCGCTGAGATCAGGGCAAGGCAACCCTCTGAGAGAGGCCCCTCCCCAAAGCAGCAGGGTCTATGACAACGTCCAGACAAGGGGCGTGGTCAGTCGTGCAGAGCCAAGCCATAGAGTTGTGCTGGGGGGCTGGCCACAGGACACTCTGACCCCAGAGCCAGGTGCGGGGTGTCCAGCAGGGCTCCCTTTAGCTCCTTCTCCTTCTCTAGAATGGTGGGAAGTTTAGGCAGATCCCCCTCAGCTTCGCCTTAGTCAGGGTGAGTCTTTAGACACCAGCGAGCAAACCCCAAATCCTGACATGATTCCAACATCTTCCATGTCAGTCCATCTGGGTTTTGAGGGGACAGACAGACAGATGGGGAACTGTCTCACTCCTGACCCCTATGCGCACCCTGCCCTGCCCTGTCCAATAGGGCAGCAAGGTGTCCCCTCAGGAATTTCATGCACAGGCTCTAGTCCCCCTCTAACTCACTCAGTTACATAGGTTTCAGGGACCATTGGGGGTGTTTGGGACCAGTGGGGACATGAGCCTCACTTGTCCCCTTTCTGGCTTCCTGGTGGTGGTGGTGGTGTGCCGTGGAGTCAGTTCTGACTCAATAGCAATCCTGTTTAGGGTTTCTGAGGTGGTAAATCTTTTAAGGGATCAGAAAGTCTCCGGCTTCCTGGTAGCTGTTTATTATAAGATTCCTTTTCTTCTTCCAAGGAGTTCTGGTAGCATAGCGGTTACAAGTCAGGCTGCTAATCTAAATGCCCGTCATTCCTTGGAGGAAACTGTGAGGCTTTCTGCTCCTGTAAAGATGAACAGCCTCAGAAGCCCTGAATAGCGTCATGGGGAGTCGGAACCAACTCTACGGCACACCACCACCACTATCTTCTTCCATTAAGAATCTCCTTTCTCCGAACCAGCCAGGGGTGTAGGCCCCATGGGTGGAGAGGCTGATGTTTCAGGTCTGGGGCCCCCAGCTAAGGTTTACATGTACCTACCTTGCACGGAAGCAGGGACTCTGTGTTAATCCCACATAACTGGCCCTCTCAGCTCCTTGAGGGTAGAACTCACCCACCCCAAAAGGAGTCATTTCAGTGGCCGGAAGTGGGTTCAGGCTGGCCCCTGGGGTCGAGGAGGTGGGAGGGTTGGGCCGTGTGGGGGATAAGGAGCCCTGGGTACATCTCCCCCTCCAGCCCTCAAGGGTGTACCTCCCTCCTGCTCCGTGTGGGACAGGCAGAGGCCAGGAGGTCAGGGTTTGAGAGTGTCGGGTAGAGAACAGGAGGTGGGGGTGGTACCCTCTGAAGAGGAGGCTTCCTGAGGACTTCCTCAGGGCGGGGAGAGTGCCGGGAAGCCGGAGGGGGGCCAAGCCCTGGGGAGGGGTGGGTGGGTGCTGCAGGATGGTGTGGGGAGGGGGGATGTGCTGCTCGGTCTGGTTAGAAACTCTAGATGTTGGCTTTGCCCCTCCCCGGCAAGACCCCCTCTGGTTCACCCCAAGACCCACCAACCCACCTCTAGGGCCTCACCATAGTCCCTAGTTTCTTCTACCTCCAGCCTTTCCTGTTTCCTCTGCACAGAACGCTCCACTCACCTGTCCCTGCCCACCCCCCATCAGTGCCCCCACCACCACCACCCCCTCTGCTTCCTGGTCTCCTAGAGCCATGTGTGTCCATGATGCGCAGGTAGAGACAGGCGACCAGGTGAAGGGCGGACAGTGGACGGACACACCCCGTGGGGGGACTCGGGGCCTAGCGGCCAGTCTCCCTCCCAGGGGCGTGCAGAGTCCGGTGGGCGGCCAGGGCTCCAGGAAGCCGCCCATTCTTCACACCCGCTGCCCCCAGCCCGGGTTAAAAGCCCAGCTTCCGGGGGAGGACCTGAGCCGCCTTTCCCGGCAGTAGGCGGGGCTGCGCAGGGCCGAAGACAAGAGTTGGGATACCTGGGCCTCGGCCAGAGGGACCCCTGCTCTCCCGGCCCCTCCTCCTGAGCCTCAACGTCTCCGTCCATCCTCCCAGTCCGTCCTCTAGACCTCGGGATTGAGAACGCAGACTACCAGCGCTCTCGGATCTCAGCTATTGTCTCTTATTCCTCAACCAGGGAGATTGAGGCACAGGCAGGCCACACCTGGGGTCCCTGGAGTATTCCTTCCCGCGAGCTGTCGCGCACCGGAGCCTGGGGCCACGGCGGGGGCTGGCAGTCGATACCCCCACGCTCCAGGATCCCAGTGGTCCAGGAGAGGGGAGCCACCCACCGCTGCAGCTATGTGACCACGACCAGGGTCTCAAAGAAAATGGGGGGCGGGGAGAAATAACCAACCGAGAAGGGGATGGGGAGGAGGGGGGCGAGAACATCACAGCTGGGACAGCCCTTGCAGAGGCCCTGAGGCTGGATTCGGGCTCTTAGAGTCTGGGGGCGCCATGGGGCTGTTGGTGAGTCCAGATGGCTGTTTTTACAGTATTTAGGGACAGGCAGAGTAATGGGGGAGCTAGGACTGAGGGGATGAATACAATAAGATCCTTGCAGAAGCTATGGGCATATTCAAGTCCTCCAAAAGCGTCTCACCCTCAGAAGACCACCACCCATAGACACTCCCATGCCTGGGAGACCATCACCCAAAGACATACCCACCCTCGGGAGACCACCACCATAAGACACCCCACCCCCAAGAGATTACCACTCAAGACATCCCTACCCCCGGGAGACCACCATCCCAGGGCACCATCACCCCCGGGAGACCACCAGCCCAGGGCACCATCACCCCCGGGAGACCACCA